TTTCTCTATTACTACTATAAGCTGAGGGCTGTATTCGTAGATCCAGAACAAAAATACTGTAAGCAGTAAAAATAAAGTAAGCCTATATAAAATAATCGTGTGTAACAGGAAAATAGACATTTAAATATAAGTAAAACCACATACGAAGTGTATATCTAATCAATTTATTAATAATATCAGTTCACGCTTTATACGGATCGTACATCAAATCCACCAATACTCGATTTGTACAGTTGTGGTTCGCGGTCGTTGGTTCGTTGGATAATCCGTTCGAGTTCTTGGTGACAGAGATAAATCTATACCCCATAGTGCTATACCCCATAAACGAAGTTTTACCAAACTTATTATTTCCATGTATAATGACTATCCACCATGTTCATTTTTACTAAGGCATTTTTTTAATTTTGCATCATCTGATTTCGAACATTTTGCTCAGTTTCGGGCGAACGTTTGGAGTTGGACGATAGTGTACTGTCAGCGAAACCATTTTCAAATGTCATAGCCAAATTTTTATATAATCCCTTAAAAGTCTATTGTTGGTCTTATAAAAATTTGGTCATTCTTTAAGTTTAGGAGTAAAAAAATATTTTAAGCTCGTAACTTTATCTAGCTTTATTTATAAAGCTACAACCTGTATACGTCCCACTGTTTAGCACAGGCCTCCCCTCATTTCTAAGAGGGTTTTAGTGCAACGGAAACACCGCGCTGCCCCAATTGCGTGTTCGCAAACTTCTCATGTCTTCGAATTTTTTGTCTTATTTTTCAGACATGCAGGTTCCTTCACGATGTTTTCCTTCACCGCTGAGCACATGGTAAATCAGCATTTCAAATTGCAATTAACAATTTCATTGGTGCCGGCGGGGATCGAACGCGGGTTGCTCGCGTAGGTAAGTACTGTAAAATATATTTCTAGACCATAATAAGAATTGTTCCGTGCGGAAACCAAAACGCGACCAAATAATGCTTAGCCACTGTGTTATCTAGCTTGCATAGAAATACATGCGAAGTTCTTTCTTCGTATAACAAAAGGATGGAGAAGAATTTTGCATATGTATCTGTGGTAATCTAAAATGTTTCATAATACTATGAACCACTGTGCACTAGACCGCATTCCGTGTATGTAGTTAAAGGCCTATGTTCAGCAGTGGAGTAGTGGGCTGTAGTAGGCTGTAACGGAGGGTTGGTAAATCGGCCCTTATTTTAATAATAATACAGTGGAATCACGATAACTCGGATTTCAAGAGAAATACACAAAAATGTTCGAGTTAATTGAGTTTTCGACTTTACAAGAATTTCATGATACTAAGGATTTAATTGCTACTTGATTCACATTTGAGAAATATTTTGGCTTTTCATTCTTATTTATAACCTGTAACACAGGATTTTTTACAACAACCTACTTCAGGCACCAGTCTCTCACAAAGCTGAAACTAATAATGGCAAATTGTTAATCTAAAAGTACTATTTGTGAAGAGAGAATAAATGGTTTATTTATTTATTATTGTAGACAAAGTGCTAGCTGGTAATCCGTATGAGCTGCCACGTCTTTTTTTTCATGTCACTTTTTACATTGATAACGCATACATTTTTCACGTAAAGTCGTTAGTTTCCGTTTGGTACTTATGATGCTCCTAGTTAACAGCCAAATAAATACTAATATCGGTCAGTCTTCTTAAGCAAAGAGTCCAAAAATAAACACATATAAGGTGCATAGATGTGTTATTTAGATAGAGTAATGAATATATTAATTCTTGCTCGAGTACAAAATACAGACAACAGAACAGAAGCAACAAACATTCCTTTTGGATTTTATTTAGTACGGGACGTTTAGTTTATTAGTTTTATACGTGGTAGAGCCATGCTGCAGCTATATTAGTAGTATAGTTGTAGCACGATAGATGTAGATGTTTATGGGTCACAGTAACCACTTACCATCAGGTGAACTGTGTGCTCGTTTGTCACCCTCTCCTATAAAAAAAATACATTACGAGTAAGATTTCATTATATTTTACTAACTTCGACTTATGGGGTCTGCTTTTTGAAATTTGAGTTATAGAGTATACATATGTACTATCAATACCTCGCAGGGAAATAACATTTTGTTCAAGTTGCAAATTTTAAATAATTCGATATACCGCTCATTTAGGGGCTCAGTGGAAGGGAATGGCATTTTTATTTCGTCTTACTAAGGATTACGACTTCCACTATATGAAAATAAGTTAAATGCCACCTAGTGAAAGTTTCAAGAATTTCTACTATCTTATCTCCTTTTGGACACACATATTTCATGAAGTAAATTTCATTTCAACCATTAAACTACAGATGGCGCGATACCAACAACTACTCGTTATCATTGTTTTTTATATTATCGTATAACCGATAACTGACTCGTAGATGGGCGGAGGCAGTAGAGTACAAGGCTACAAGGGCCTCCCCCGTTGGCCGTTTGTTTAGCCATAGTGAAGCCCTTCGGTCGGTCGCTTCCTATGGGCTTCCCGAGAAATTATGCAATAAAGATCACCAGTATCCTTACAGATAGGAGCATCAAGGTCGTAGTAGACGGTGCATGCTCTGATTACAAGCCTATTATTCCTAGTATTCAACAAGGCTGCGTGCTATCAATGATATGTTGCAAACCATTCCGCATGACAATGAAGAATGAAGCATTCATTTGGACTAGTGATGCTTTTTACACCGGGCGTGCCAATATTTCTCGGGATCACGTCGTCGAGTACCGGAATAAACTTTTTTTTTTAGGATTGGGTGACTAACGAGCACACAGTCCACCTGATGGTAAGTGGTTACTGTGACCCATAGACATCCACATCTATCCTCAATAAAGACTCAAGATGCAGATGCGTTGTCACCCGAGAGGACTAAGATGGAATGCCTCTTTGCCAGTAAAAAGGGTCTCCGGTTCTCTACACTCACCATACGAAACACAGCAGCGTTAAGCTGCTATTTTACGCTGGTTTTCTGTGACAGCGTGGTCCTTCCCCGGTCGAGCCGACCCATTCGTGCTACAACCATAATATAGCTGCAGCATGGCTCTACCACGTAGAACACAAACTGGTGTCTGAAGTCGATTGTTGTTAACAAAGTCTCGGATTGGGGACGACTAAATTTAGTCCACCTCAGCAGACACAGTTTTGCGTATTTACCGCTAAAAAGAACCCCTTTGTTGTATCTTTTAAATTTTAGAGCACTCCCCTTGCGGCCTCAGCCGGCATCGGAATCTTTGGCGTCCACATATCGTTGGCATTAATTGGCTAAATTTACTACGGGGACTGATCTGAGGTATTGTTCGGATTAATTTCTACCGCTACTACAACGCACATCGCGATAAACTTACGATACCATCCACAGCCATACCATGTGGATGCTTTCTAAAAGGCCTGCAACCACTAGCAATTCTCCTGGTGTTGTAATTGTTCAAGGGTGACGGTAGTCACTTACTATCAGGTGAGCCGCATGGTCATTTGCCTCCTCTTGTATAAAAAAAAAATCTGCCAAAGTAGGCTTTATTAGATTATAATTTTAAGGTTACAGACCGAAATTTGAAATCAGTTAAAAGATAGCATTTATTATGTTAAAATATTAGATTTACGCAGAAAAACCACGCTGCCTATTTTAGCTGTACATAGCAGCAGCACAAATGGGTCTTCGAGTTGAGTTCGTCCACGCTCTCATATACGGAGGTTAGTTTGGCGTCAGTTCAGTCTCTGACCTTGATCACGTATAGACTGATGGCTGAATGATGGATCGACGGACGGTATTAGACGGTAAGTCAGACGGACGATCAGTCCAACCCAAAACTTCTACGCGATAACAAGCATAGTCATGAGGTATGGATTTGAACAAGAAAAAATTAAAGAATTCACGGCGATAGTTAGATCTTAGGGTATTAATTTTCTTTTTCACATTTTCTACATTAGCTTGGGGTTTATTTTTTTATTTATTCACATGTTGGTTATTCCTTTTATCCTAAAGAATAGGTAAAATTTCTAAAGTTGGAATATATTCTTTCTCCGGGGCTAATGGTTGAGAAGGGATTCGGTGCACGCGGTGACACGGTGTGCTGTCTAAGCGGTGATTGACATCAGACTTATAGTTATTAAATACACGTTCAGTCTGGAATTGGACCAGACTGACAAAAATTATTAAAATATTTAAATAACCATCATTCTAGACCATCAATCCATCAGTCTACGCGTATACAGTCAGATTGCAGCATGCAATGCATCTGAATTTTGATACTTAAGCGATGATAGAGGTCTATGGATCATAACATTCGCTTACCATCAGATGGACTATGTGCTCGTTTGTCACGCTTTTTATATTAAAAAAGAATTAGTTGTCGGTCCAGAACTCCTGAGTCGCTGTTACGGTGATTCGGACTACGCCAAATCGTCTTTCTGTGATCTTTCTGGGTCGTTTGGCTGGTCTCTGACCCTCGCGTATACACGTGGAAAAGACTAAAATAACATGCTAAATGCTTTTTCTATACCTATTTATTGGAGATAAATAAACAACTCATGTAGATTATTCATGATCTGTTTTTCATTTAGAAATGTCGGAACAGGAACTAAAAAGGAACAGAAGCCATATCTTCCAAAAAATACAATAAAGAGACTGCGTCCGACCTATTATTACTTTTTGAAACATGAAAAATATATTTTTAAAATGTAGAGCGCAATTTAAAAATGTGATGAATTTGTTTCTTCTTCCGGACTTGTACGAGTATTTACTATTTGAAGAATCCACAATAAATATTAAGTTACTCGTAGATAAGCATGTTTTTCTATAATGCCTGCGTATTGATGATTTTTATATAAAATTTAATGTACAGCCATTCCGCAACAAGCACTAGCATTGGATGCTAACAATAAATAATGCTCTGTTAATATTTTGGTGAAATTGAAGGATTGCATATCATGAACAATTCAGTTTGAATTTCCTTTATTAAAATAATGATGATGTATACAAAGTTATTGGTAAAATCAACCGCTCCAAAACAATTGGTTCAATATGATGCTGTAAGTAATGACACTTACGATTGTTCCCAACATTGTGCCATAATTTAGATGAAATAAATTGCAGGCGGTAAATCGAATCTGATAGCTGGATACTAATTGTTTAAAAGTCATCAAGAGGTTTCTTTTCGGTTCATCTGAAATATTTGGCAATATAAATTATTTTCAACCAGGATGTGCTATATTATAGTGTATATACTATAAACCATGAAGTGGCGGTTTAAGAATATTCAAAACTAACACTTGCAATTAAGATGAAACATTCTAAAGAAAGACAATTATTTCCAAGCATCATACCTCTACCTCTTGGTAGAGAGTAAGTAATAGTGTTCTACGGAACAGATACAATTAACGCACCGAAAATATCTTTTGTTACTATTTTTATTTATTTATCAGAAAATTGCTTTAAGATAATTACCAATCTGAAGCTTTAGATAGCTATAGGTTAACAAAATCGATCCGTCTGGTTCGACTGAACCGGACAAGACTACGCATCGAATCCAATACGTTTCCATCGCAAAACGGCTCCGTGGCGCAGTGGCTTAGCAGTTAGTTGCAGCGCTAAGGGCCGCTGATTCGAATCCCGCACGGAACAAGTGTTTGTATGGCCTACAAATAATTGTTTCGGTTCTGGATGTTTATCCTTGTGAAATTTATGTATGTAAACTGCCCCCACGCTATAGGAGAAAATCCAATTGTGGAAGTAACGGTTTTTTTTTAGAAAAAAAAACGGTACTCTGTAAGGGTTGCCTATAATTATCTACAGAATCAAAATGCACGTGACTAGTAAAAATAGCCTTTTTTTCTTTTTTAAAAGAGGACACAAGGATTTCAAGATTTTAGAATTTCAGTTTGATTTTCTCGTGTATCGAATATACCATACAAATAGTTGTTCCGTGGGGGATTGAAACCCGCGATTCTTAGCGCCGTAACAGATTTGTTTGCCATTACGCTACGGAACCGTCTTTAAACGTTATCATCACTCACCACCATATGAAATACAGCTGCATTATGCTGCTATTTAGAGCTGACCCATCATGCTGCCATAATACAGCTGGTGGTTGGAGGGTGGATTTAATATAATTATGGTAATAACCAAAAGGTATATATATAATCACTATGATTAAGAGATACAATTACTCTTTGCTTCGATGAATCCAATTTCCATAGTTACGAGTACCTACATAGTCAGTTATTCATCTATAATTTGTTTCTTTGCCGAAGGCGGGTGTAGCTTACAGTGAATCATAGTTATTAGTCAGGTATGTGAGTGTATGTGTCATTATTAGCTGAAGAAGACGTATTTACAAATCAATAAAGTAAAATGTACCACGTAGTTATAGTTATATAGTAACATTATATTTCAATGTTCCAGGTGATAGAAGTCATATAAAATCTCAACTACGTGATTCGTAAGTAAGTAATACGTAACTATTTGCTTAAAATTAAAAATAGTTTTATAAGAGAAAATTCAAGACAGGGTCGGATAATTAACCGACCTAAAATAGATTTTATAGTTGTAATTTTCGTTTAAATAATTTGATAATAAAGTATAATATCTTCAATCAACCTGTAAGGCGCAATAATTAACACGTTCAGTGCGAAACAGGACCTGAAACACCTTGTCCATGTTGTCTCGCCTGTGCTGTGGTGCAAGGAAAAACATAAACTTCTCGTGCGGAAGGCGTAACTTCTACTTGGATCAGTGTAGGAAAGAGATAAATATATATCTGATATGTGCTATTGATCCCAAGTTATGTGGTATACCTACCGGTTTAATACCGGGTTTATTAAACCTTTTGCTGTGCTGATAAATAAAATTTTAATACAGTGCGGAACAAAGTTGAGAACATCATGTATCCCCGTGTACCTCGTACTGCACCACGGAACAAATACAAAGAGGAGACGGCCTAAGCAACTGTGCACTGTGATTTTAACTAGGTCCTGACGTCATCACAGTGAGCGTGGCATTGGTTAGTAAATCCAATTACAACACCTTCTCTTTGTGTTTGTTCCGTGTACCGCACCCTGTGCTAGCTTCACGCGGCAAGTGTTGTGCATTGCATTCGAGACTGCGCACGCGACACGTAAAAAGTTAGATTTAAAAGACAGTGATGAAGAAGATACAGGTCGTAAATAAGGGCATAGGTTCTGTATGATTTCAATGAGGCAGGTACTGTATATCGTCCCTGTAGAACCATATTTTTGCAATTTATTCTTCTGCGCTAGCATCTACTATTGCTTACAAAAGTTATAATATAAACACGCTTTTATCTCCTAGTAGTAGGTTGAGCAGAAAGAACTTTTCAACATATACGCTTGAAAAATACACACACAAACACAACATATTCATTTTATTTTTTCAGAACCCACAACAAACAAAGCACATCATCTCGAAGAGGGTTCAAAGAAGAGGAGATGTATCGGATGTTATGGTAAAACTCTGTACCTTCTTGCCAAGTCGTCAGGCTGACAAAAAAGTGAAGAAAATTCTCACAGAATGTAATGGTTGTAACTTTTTTATTGTGTGGACTGTTTTAATGAAAAACACCCATAAGTTTGACAAAATAAACTGTACTAGCAGGAAATATGCAAGTCTTAACTTCTCTGTTATTAAGGACTTATTAAGTCTAAACATTAACATATTTTTAAACATACATACCTTTTTTTCTTTTATAAGCCAAAGTCTCACTTGAATACTACTTATCTTTTCTTTTTAATAAATACAATCATAATAAACTTTACCTATATTTATATTTCCCATCACTAAAACTATATGAAAATTGTCCTTATTCAGTGCGGTACGGGGCGTATAATATCCCACATTTTATTTTACCTACAGATTCTAAACTACTTAACCCAACCACAGGCGGCGGCAGATTTAGGTGTAATTCATTGTTAATAATGATAAACACAAAAAAAAATTATTTGACTTCCCGCCAAAAAAACGATTTTAGTCTCTTAACGGTGGCGGGGTTTAACAAGCCCAGTGCCGCCATAATGTCTGGTTTAGGATTAGGTTCAAAACGCTTGGGGCGGTTGATTAGGTTCAAAACGCTCGGGGCGTTTTGAACCTAATCCTGTGCAGTAATCGAAAATATAGATAAATCAGTGATGCGGTGAACGTTTTAAATTTACAGGAGCTATATGAAAAATGACATCTATACATATAATAAAACTGTAAATAGCAGATGTCTGTACATTTTATATTTTTGTAATAAAAGTGATTGAGGGGTACTAAAAATAAGTAATTAAATACATTTCTATCATTTTTAGAATTTTCTGTCTGTCTGTCTGTATGTCTGTTTGTTTGTTAACGTATCACGCATAAAGTACTAATTTATATCATAAGAATTGTTAAGGAAATTATAAAGTGTATCTTCAGGTTACATTTAGTCTTTATTTCATTAAAATCAGTTCATTCCATCAAAAGTTATGATAAATATTCTGAAGTATGGGTAGGGAAGTATAGGTACGAATTTGCTCAACGGTGGCTTTGTTTGAGTCATCAGGTGCATTTTAAACTAATATCATATCATAAATCATAGTTAAATTATGTAAAATAATGATATGATTATGTATATCTAAAACGCAGTAAACAAAAGTATTAAAAAACGTATTAAATATATTATACAAAAATATATTAACCTTATTAACTAAATCTGAAGCACAATAGTTTTCCCATTTCTTCGATAGATGGTGGTGTTGTGAAAATGTAATGCAATTGCAAATGTGGTTTTTTCCTGTAGATGAGTTTTCATATTTACTGCTAATCTTTATTATATTACTCGCTGCCCTACTGCGTGTTGACAAACTCAATTTATTCTTTACCGCCGAGTACTCTATGTGGTAAATCACATTTTAAAAGAACTATTAACAATTGCGTTGGTTTTGGCGAGAGTCAAACTTTATTTTTTGCTTACTGTGCAGGCACTGATTTATAAGTTCTCTTGCGTTTTATATAATGTATCAATCGCGTCAATTAATCTCTTTTATTTTTAGAATTGATGTTAGCAGCGCCATCTCTCTTTAAATATATACATATAATAAAAATGATGATAACATATTGTGTCTCTTTCTGTACATTGTATAGGTATATATTTTGGTGGCTAAAATCATTATGGGGAACTGAAAATAATTAAATAAGAACATTTTATAATTTTTAGAATTGTCTGTATGTCTATTTGTCTGTTATTATATGAACGCATCACGTCTAAAGTAAACATCTTTTATTTTCAAAGAAATCGTTAAGAAAATCATAAAGCGTATCTTCGAGTTACATTTAATCTTTGTTTTATTAAAATTGGTTAATTCTATCGAAAGTAATGATTATTATTTTGAAATGTAGGTTCGAATTTGTTCAATGGCGCCATAAAATCTCAGAAATAGTAATAAAAAGATTTGTGTGTAAAAAAAACGTTCCATAATAATTAATATATTTATACTTAAAACACAAAAAGAGATTTAAAAAGGATGTTTTCTCACACAAAGGACGTAATAGATGGAGTTGTACAAATTACAAACTTTGCTGAATTGCTGTGTTGAGATTTTTCGCCGATGAATCGTATTGAGACTTACTGAAGAAATTTGTATCCATCGAAGCCATACAACGGAATCCGACCAAAAATAAAAATTTTGCAACGAAATGTCGTGATATTGTTTTTATAATATACGCAAAATCAGTACTGCCACTTTAGCGCTTTGGGAACTAGATTTAGCGCTTTTTTGGAATGTATAGCGCGCATTTCGAAATTTTAGCACCTAGCTTAATCCAGCGTTTTTTGGTGTATTTAGCACACATTTCAATATTTTAGCGACTAGCGGGTTATTAACTCTTTTATAGCAGCACTGTTAGTCCACATTACCGATAATAATAATAATGACCTTTATTATTTTTTCCCACAAATAGTACATTGCAGTTTATCTTTTTCAAACATATTTTTTCCACAAAACAAAGAGCATGGGAGACGAGTCCAAACTAGGATACCCTGTGCTATGGATCTCCTGGCTTCCCCTTTAGGATGATCAACTTGATTTTTTTACCGACGACTATAAGCGGGGAAACCCCTTTATTAAAGTTTTTGTTCATGGTTTTGGCAACGCATTTATTTTGCTTTATTCAGTTTCAGTTAGTTGCTTAGAGCACAGCTAAGTTAAAAGTTACTTAGAAGTTATAACACAAAGAAACTGTGTAGCAACCGCAATCAGATGCTGACATCTGAAACTAAGTTGCGAAATACATTGCACTTTAAAACAATTAATGACATTTTTATTGTTCGTACAGTACTAACTACTGTTGACAGCAATTGCCATAATTATAAGTCGATGTCCTGCGAAGTATTGATACATCAAAAAAATATTGCCAAAAAAAACTTAATGTTGTTTTCTTTATTATGATTATATAAAAAAACACAAACTTTGTTTGTAGTTAATTTAGCGCGAAATCTAGGGCTTTTTTAAAGCGCTGTTTTCATGAAATCTAGCGCTTTTGGTGTTGTCCTAGAGCTGAATGAGTTTTTTTTTATCTGGCAGCACTGCCCAAAAACCCTCTATTAAGAAGTAACTTTCCTTTCAGTTTTAAGCGCGTTCAGTTCCCAGTTACAGTGAGCGTGTGTTATGCGATGACCGTAAATGAAGCGCAAGGTCAAACTTTACGCGTTGTAGGAGTGTACCTCAGTACTGACTGTTCTGCACATGGCCAACTCTATGTTGCTTTTTCCCGCGTTAGTAGCCCCCGTAACCTTTTTGTGTACACCCCGGCTAAGCCTACTTCTAACGTCGTTTACACAGAAGCTCTATCATAAACGACTTAGAACTTTGATGATAATGATTTATTTAGTTACCACTTATTGATACAGTAATGAAATAAATCGTTTAATATTCTCTTACCTAAACGACAAATTCTTTATGTAAAACCTGTATACGCGAGCTACGCCGCGGGCACAGCTAGTAATAAAATAAGAATAACCTTTAATGAATTGTGTGTTCGGCTTTTGTTCCATTAACCTCGCCTGTCTATGATATTCTTAGAGTGAGTAAGTGTGTAGCAATATTTAGAAGTTCATTGCAAAAACTTGTGAGTATATAAGGTTTATATGCTTTTTATAATGCTGGTGCTAGGTGCAAAAGCAATGTAACCAGCTTTAGTACCCTTGTATTACCATTTATTTTTTGAGGGTCCTTTTCTTAAATATTTTAATAGGACATGATGTGTTGGATTCCCAACTTGGAGTTGAGCTCTAGTCAAACACGCTAATACCTAGTACTAACCACCATAACTCACCACATCGAAAATCGATTACATGTTTAATAATGAGAAGCTCAGTTTCCTTCACTTCATTTCCGATTTGTTCGCTTATATAGCAGGCCAGATAATACCATATAAAAAGCTCAGCACTTTTGGAAATTACAAGCCAGGGCAGAATTTTCTGAAATAAAATTGATATTATGACTATTTTAGCGCGAAGTATTTATAAACATTAAGTTAAGAAATCTTTCTGAAGCAATTTAACTTGACATTAATTTAACAAAAGTTCAGCATAAGTTGCCATTTTTTGGCAATGAACATAATCTTTATAAAATTAACCGTTTATAGGTTAGCTTTGTTCACGAGTTTGATTAAATTGCTACAGCATAATCAGTAGAACCATGGTAGCTCAGAAATCTCTGTGCGGTGCTTAATCAAGCACCCTTTGTAAACTCAGAACGCTATCCAAGCAGTGCTCGATCTCCGCCGGCACTAATGAAATTATATAAAAGACATTTCCTATCGGAACATGTAAGAGACCGACATCAACAATGTCTGTGCTGCGATGTAACATACTGTTAGTTTGGAACAGACTACTGGAACTGTTATTTCAAAAGAGGAGAAACTGCTGCAATAGGTTTCTAACTCTACCTAGTATAGCCCGCTCCTACAACATAGCGAATAGCGATACAACGAATACGAGCAGGATGGCACAAGAGGATAACTTTGCGTTTTCTTCTACATTTTTTATGATATATTTTTTGTTGTCGATATCGTTTGATAATATAATATTTTATAGATTAATAGTTTCACCATCAGCAATGACCCATTGCCGAGCCAAGGCTTCCTCTTATCTTGCAAGAGTTATGAAAAATTTATTAATTTAATTCAGGTTTCATCACGATATTTCCATTACATAACAGACATGTTACAAATCAGCTAGTACTTAGGTAGGTAAACTGTTTTAGCGTTGCTGGCGGAATTCGTAGTTGGGTGACTCGAGCACTACGAACATCCTGAGATACCAAGGCACATAATTACCTATTTTACCTTTATTTTTAATAAATAATATTTTTAAGAAGAGTCGACGCCAATACCGAAGTCTTTACCTCAGTCACAATGATCATTGTTACACCAATAACTGTGTTTGAAAACATCAACCATACGATGAGAAAGACCTGAAAAGTTTATCTTATAAGTAAGAATAATATAAAAAGAAACGATTGCAACATCGGATTAGTCATTCTGAAAAAAAAAATGACGTTATTATAATTAACATCCGCTTGATTCATTTATTTATGTGAATCACCTTAAAATCCCTCGGTATGTACACTATGTAATGTTTTTCTTATAGCCTATCAAAAGTCCCATGCTGAACATAGGGATTCCTGTAGAATCTACGGCAGCTATAGCAAATATTCTCTGTCATCCCGTCTCTGTGAGGCAATCGTCTCATAACTCAGAAGGATTTTTTTTTGCTATAGTTGCCACGGTTGAGAGACGTGTCGAGAACCACTGTTTTTTTCTACAAATAACATTTGTTGATTATGAGTTGTTATGTTTCAGTTTCCTTATATCGCCTCTTACGACATCCATAATGATTTGATAATTTGAGAAAGTGAGTTCTAATAATATAACATATTAAATATAATGTTTTGTCAAAATAAAAAAGTCATTGCATAAATATTTTACATAGAATAAAATATAATAAATTTTATTCAATATTGATTACAAGTAATTCTTTTTGAAAGGCATTTTTTTTACTTTACCACTGGTTCGGAAAAAACCTTTGTCCTGGGAAGAACCAGCAAGAACCCCAGCGGGACTTCTTTTAAATAAAATTTACAATATAAATGGTTACAAACTATTTACAACATTTATTTTAGATACAGCTTGGAAGTGACCACCTCATTCCCAGGGATTATTATCAGCCACGTATTCATCTATATTATAATAACCCTTTTTATACAGTTTTTGTTTAATTAAATATTTATACTTGATTTTACCACATTACCCATCCATTTAATTTAAAAACACATTGGTTGTTATAAATTTAATACATTTGGTTTTATTGCCGCTTAAATGTAGATTATTAACGTTAAACCAATACAAAAATTTTATATAGCATTATTCACTTCGTCACATTTAAACGATTGACGTTCAAGTTTAAAAATTAAGGAAGTATCATCAGCAAATAATACTATATCATGATTATCCCCTACAAGGGAAGGTAAGTCATTTATATACACTGAAAATAGGAATGGGCCAAGAATCAAGTCTTGAGGGACACCCATTTTTACGGACGACTCAGAAGAACTTTTACTATTGATAATAACTTTCTACATTATATTAATTAAATATGAAATAATACGTTTAAGCACTGTGTTCTTAACATCATACGACTGTAGCTTCCTGATTAATATCTCATAATGAACACAGGCAATTGTAAGGTAAGGCATTGGAAAGGTCACAAAATATACTCAAAGTATCCTCTGAATTCTCCCGTGCACAAACATATGTTTTATAAGCCCAACTCCGTCGTCGGTAGTCGAGCGACCCTTTGTAAAACCAAATTGATTTTTATGAAGCAATTCATTTATTTTTAAAAAAACTGAACTTCTGATCTAAAATATTTTTTCACAAATTTTACTTAATGTTGTTGGTATAGAAATTGGTGTAATATTGGCGGGGTCTAATGTACTACCAGATTTAAATAAAGTTATGAATTTACTATGTTTAATTAGATCAGGAAACACACTAGATTCGACGCTTGTATTAAAAATCGTGGCTAGATAAGGTGCTATTGTATCATTTATTTCGTTCATTTATTTCATCATAATATTATCACCATGTTCTTTAATAATATTTCAGGCGGAAATTATGGGAAACTCTACAGCAGGCCTATGTCGAACAGTATACTATTACAAATAAAGAAAGTAATTACTTGCGAGCCATGATTTATTTCCAGTAAACGAATGCAAGAACTAATGTCATCGTAAAATAGACAAAGACTTTTCAAATCTCCTTTTTGAGGATTAATTTCAATAAAAGAAATGTTAGTATTACATAAATATGCAAAGGAACGCTTTCTTTTTTGCATTGGTTCCAAATATGATACGTTCGGATCCGTAGCACGTCCTCTATTAAAGGTCAACAATTGGGACAGCTTAATGTTAATAACTTTGAGAAACGCCAAAAGCAAAAATAAGTGAATAATTAAATGCACCATCGTTAAATAAATAGGAATTTTGAAGATTAATACGTATGGTGGATATCCGTAAATAAATTCGCAAATTATTAAAATTACAAAAATAATTGACATTACAATAATCCACAAACGCAATTTAATTGATATCATCTCGACACTGTGGTTACTTATGTTAAGTCCGCGGAACAAGCTACGAATGATATTATAAATTTGTACGAAGACTTCATCTTCATTACACAACTCGATGATGATTATTAAAACGTTTACTATTAAGTTATTGGTTCCGTCAATCTCCGGTAAGTTATATGTAATGTGTAAGTGAACGTTAAAATTTACAGAAAAGAAGTAAGACACAATTGCAGCAGATACAATTAGAATAGACCAGAAGATGGTCAATAATTTAGTCCAAGATTTTTTATCGACTTCCATACACTCAAATGGTTTTCTCATACCGAAAACACAATAGACAAAATTAAATACACGAAAATAATCGTAAAACATTTTACACTTCATTGCTTGAAAGAAACAGTAAGAGTTGTATAGTGTATTTGTTCAATTATAATTAAAACTATGATCCAAATGAATTTTAATGATTTATAGCACAGTAATTAAAAATATATATATCAGTGAAATGTTAACGAATTCAAAATTATATCTTTGCATCGATAATAACTGGTTTATTTTACTAAAACTACTACAATGGTCATCGAAAATGAATTAATGGTTTATCAAAAAATCAGAAAATTTGAATGAAGACCAAATATTGTGTGTTTTATATTTTAACTTGATACGTTGGATGGTAATTAAAATTTAATTACTACCCAATAAATGATTGCAACAATTTACCTTAACCATATCTTGGCCGGTATTGATATTTTTGAAAAAAAAAAACAAGTCAGTCCTGTGACTTGTTTTTTTTTTTTCAAAAATATACCTACTCGCAAAAACCACACGCTCTGTAAATTAACGATTCGTAGAAAAACAAAGAGTCAGATTTCTTATAACTTGTTAAAGTTGTGATTTTGGATAACGGCAGTGCGGCGGCGGGTGCGGGTCGATGCTTTACATTCGAAGTTTGTTTTCATTACTGTTGCTCATTTTTAAGTGTAATCACGGAGAATCTTAAAAAATAATGTTTACTTAGAAACAAGTTTTTAAATATTATGTTAACTAACTCTTTTACGTGGTAGAGCCATGCTGCAGCTATATTATTAGTATCGATGTAGTACGAATGGGTCGGCTCGACCGGGGAAGGACCACACTCTCAAAGAATACCAGCGTAAAATAGCAGCTTAACACTGCTGTGTTTCGTATGTTAGTCCTCACAGGTGACAACGCATCTCCATTTTGATTCGCAAACAAGGATAGATGTAGATGTCTATAGGTCACAGCAACCACTTACCATCAGGTGGACTATGTGCTCGTTTGTCACCCTGTCCTATAAAAAAACTGTTGTATCATTAGTTGGAAACTTTGTTTTTTCTTTGTTTTTTTTTTAAACGTTACCCCCACACTAGGATTTTCTCCTGTATCGTGGAGGCAGTTTACAAACACAAATTGCACAAGGACAAACATCCAGACCCGGAACGATTATTTGTAGGCCATACAAATACTTGTTCCGTGCGGGATTTGAACCCGCAGCCCCCAGCGCAGCAACTCATTTCTAAGCCACTGCGCCACGGAGCCGTCAAATGCTGAAACTGCACCAAACATATCACCTTGATGGTATTTTAAACAACGTCATCTATTAAAAATTGAAAATTATATATTTTTCTGCCGTAATATATAATTATATTACCACCCAACCCCGATCTCAGGCCAAACTAGTTTGTCCTAGGTCAAATCGCTTTATCCTACATGTGTCAGTATATACTAGTTTAACCCAGGACAAACTATTTTTCCTAAATACTTTAGGCTTAACTAATTAGGCTTATGCAGAAATGATTGAATAATGGTATAACCTAACCTAAACCTTTTTTTGTGTTACATGGGATAATACCGACGCATACTTGCCTCGCGGGGGCAAGAACGGGTTATGTCAGACTCACACCGCCTATAACCCCATGGTGTTCCGTCCCCTTCGTTGCATATTGGCGGGAACGCTTTCGCACACATCCGCGGCCCCACCAGTACCGGCCACCCCACGGTGGCCTGGTGTCCTCGGGAGAGGACACAGGGCCACCGTGGTAAGGCACACCGGGTAAGGCACATAGGAACACATTGCACGCCTACCTCCGCGCCCTTATCTTCACCTGCGCAACGTAAGCCCCCGTGTCCGATGCGCGAAAGCCATGGGGCCATGAAAAACGAGCACTCAGAAGTACTAGCCTTCCCAACCCCAGCGGCAGATCTAGCCTATGGCTCCACCGCCAACCAAGATTCGGCTGCGGAGGGTAGGGAGAAAGGCACCTCGCAGTACCGACACTCTCGTCCGCATCCCCACCACCACCGCATTAAGGGTGCAGCCCCGTCAAAAGGCGGAGGATAGGGCGAGTGGCGCATCGTCATACCAACACTCCTATTTCTCCGCGACCCCACCTCGGCTGCAGCGGTGGGGGGGGGGGGAGGACACCCCTCTCGCATAGCCCACTAACACACATCCGAAATGGGCTCGCCAAGCCCAATCTGAGTGTCCACCTCTAGCCCTGTGGGTTCCTCACAAGTCACGGTGACCAAGTCACGGCTACTAAGACCGCGCGGCACGACAAGGCGGGAATCCGTTGAGGGGGGAACCTAACCTAAGCCTAACCTAACCTAAAGGTATCGCGAACTTTATTTTAGATGGAGGAAAGGTCTATATTTTTGTAGAATATTTATACGTATCACCATTACGCCAGTGCACCCGATTAAGCAGTTAGGGAGCGTTATTTCTTCCGACTTGCTTAACAAAAATCAATATTTAAGGCTAGTTGAAAGATGTAGCCTAATGCTAGATAGCCTATTCTGTTCCTCGTGAATCTGACTATTATATACAAAATGAATTTATAAAATCGGACTGGTAATTCCAAAGATTTGCGTATTTAAACCAACCTCTTTCGCTTTATTATATTAGTATAGATTCTATATCATTCTCTCCTATAGATTTATATATTTGTCTCTATTTAGTGTCGCTTTTTCCATTCATTCATTGAGATCACAACGATGCTAAACAAATTTTCACTTTTAAAAAGTAAAATACAACTCCAAAATCCATACTATAAGTTATTTATTCTGCGCTATAAGTAACACTATCAGTTTTCCACCCTCCTCTATATTGGGCCATTTATATGATTCTATTAAATCGAAGTTCACGCAAGCAAGGCTACTTGGAAGAAGCTAAATATTATGTAAGTCCAATAGTTACAACGAAGTAAATAAGTGCTGAGTCTGAAAGTTTTTGGATCAAAATAACGCTATATAGTACATATATACTAAGGGCCAGGTTTGACTATTATCTACTCTCGGTAAAATGGCGTTATTTCAATTTTCTTTGAATACCATTCATTTTATCTTGTATTTTGAGTTATCTTATCAACATAACGTTCAAAGCGACCAGCGATTAATTCTTGTGTCTGATAAACAACAAATCAAAAGTCAATCAAAAGAGGCATTGCTTTATTGTGTTTTAAAATAACTACTTTATATTATTTAATTTTGAAACAAAAATAGGTTATCGAAGATGTCAAACTGTAAGTACTAAATTTATTCAACCGTAACGTATTCTTATTTAATTGATTCATTTTAATCTTACTTTGTTGTCACAAATACCAATCTTACAGAAGATATGACTAATGCGAAATTAATAATGTACTTAACTAAATAAAATAATGACTTTCAATAAGTATTATATAATAATCCATATTGAATAAAAATCATTCTATTCTATTCTATTCTATTCTATTCTATTCTATTCTATACTTCAACTTGTGCCTTTTTGATATTAAAAAGTCACTTGATGTAAATGTTTATTCTTTTTCTTTTCTATTACCTAGTTATTACTGTCCTGTAAAAGAATCCATCATTCGATTTTGTACAGTGGATGTGGTCAGAGATCGCTTCTTACGACATCCTTGGGAATAGCCAGGAAAATCTTATGATTACATGACTTTCCAGACCCTCCACCGGGCGGCCCCCCACCATACTATAACTATCCACATCCACCGGCACCCGGGACCTTCACCTACGTGCCTACGCCAGTCATGATGCCGGTATATCCGCCAACACACGCTGATCCACAGCAGCTGCCCCCCTACGGCACCAATCATATCTACCATCCACCAGTCCAAGCATCTCCTGAACCGGTAGTCGTTATTCAAGGTGAAAATTAAAGAATGTTTTAAAACTTATATTTAATAAACCTATAATATGATTCAAATAAAGAAAACAAATCAAAGACATAAAATATGTTTCTTCTCGTTTCGTTATTGTTTTTGCTCGGGCTACAGACAGCGAGTCGATAGGAACGAAAGATTATAATGATTGATAATAAGCAGTAGCTACATCAAATCATCTATGAGGATGTTGCTTACCTAGTTCACAGCTAAATTATGAATATTCCGTCCGAATAGGATACGGATTCTCTGTTTGACAACTTCGGTTTAAGCTACCCTTAGCTCCTTGTATCCTTGTCACTCTCTCATAAATTATAAATAGCATATTAATATTAATAATAAATTATTCATAATAGTTATATTTAATAGAAATAAATTCCAGGGCTACCAGGTTCTTTATAAACTACCGTCCTAAATCTACCGTTTTTTTTTTAAAATTATGACCCATAAAATGGTTCCTCAGATTCTGGACCGGTGATAGACTGGGTACCGACAACACCAAATGAAGCCAGCTCCTTAACGGGCCGAGCGGTGGTCGCTGGTAAAGAGGGCTGGGATAGTAGTCCACTGTGGATCATCAGAGCTCACCATAACGGGGAGCTTGTGCCTGGAAAGCTGGCCGTTCAACATCGCTCTGCATACATACCATACTGTGGAAAAGAAGTACCTGTACATAATTTTGAGGTAGGATTCAAGGATAAGGTTCATTATAGGACTAATTCATAGAATATACTAGCTATAATCCCTAGAGGTATGATGTAATTTGAGAAGGTAGATTTATTTAAGCTGCCAAAATTTTTGAGAAAGACAAATTTTGAAAATTTACTAATATTGTTCTTCCGTTACTAAGACATAGCAGGTACCAACTAAGCTTTCTCTTGAAAATAACCAAACTTAACTAGTTATTTATTTTACGGCAGACGTAAGTATTCTAGAAGTTATAAAGTCAAATTCAACATCTTTTTACACTAAATTAAATTGAACACCAGATGTAATAGTAATAGTCACAGATTAGAATTTCGTCCTAGCTCTTATGTCATACAATGGAATCCACCAAGGTTGAGAAGGGCGGAGAGGAGAGGAAATGTGTATAAACAATCAATAGAATAATAACATTATTCACCATCTTTTCTTTGCTCAGCTTCAGTGGATTTCAACATAAAAATCCGGCAAAAGGATTACTTAATTTTCCTAGCCCTAGCCTAGCTCTGCGCAGCTCCGGCGAAATAGTAAGCAGAGCGAGGTCTTTGTACTTACTAAAAAAGCGAGAAAATATACATGCTACAGCTATATTAATTGTATAGTTGTAGTAAGTCGACTGCCTCGTTGGTCTAGTGGTTGTAGTAGTGCAACTGCTGATTATGAGGTCCCGGGTTCGAATCCCAAGTCGGGTCAAAAAATCAGTTATTGAGTTTTTCCATTAAGAAATTCTCAGTAGCTGCCCGGAGTCAAGAAGCTGGCGGTGTCTCACCCCCGTGCCTCGGAAAGCTCGTAAAGCCGTTGGTCCTGCGCCTGATCTCTCTCCGGTCGTGTCGGTTTACCGTTCTATCGGACTTTGAGAGTGAGGGAATATAGAGTGCACCTGTGCTTGCGCATACACTTGGGCACTATAATCCTGTCCTGCGCCGATGGCTAGTCTCCGTTGAGACTGGCCACCGTGACCGAAATTCGGTCTGGAGGACATTATTAGTTGTAGTAAAATGGGTGGGCTCGACGAGGGAAGGACCACTCTCTCACAGAATACCAGTGTAAAATAGCATCTTAATGCTGTGTTTCGTTTGGTGAGTGTAGAGAACCGGACACCCTTAGTCCTCACGGCTGACAACGCATCTGCATTTTATTCGCAAACGAGGATAAATGTAGATGTCCATAGGCCACAGCAACCACTTACCATCAGCTGGACTGTGTGCTCGCTTGTCACCCTTATCCTATAAAAAAAAAATTGTGCGTTGGACGCGAACGCAGGGGACGTACTCGGAATATGCTCGATAGCCACATTTTTATAAAATAATATAATTATCTAATTTGACATAGTTTCATGACGATGTCATAAAAATTGATTATTTTTGGAGAGATTAATAATTGTTAGCTAAGTTGTCTGATAAAACCAACGCTATTCTCATCCTACTTAGTAATATTAAATTTGTTGCATTTATAAACAAATTATACTGCATATAATTTGTTTATAAATTTCAGGTTCTCTGTGCGCCTCCTAATGCCGTGCGCTGGCTGCCTGCAAGCAATGGACAGGTCCCACCAGGAGCAATAGCGGCTGGAAATACGCACAACGCCGAGCCTCTGTACATCGGAAGAGTACCACACATGCGCTCTATCACACCAGGAAAGGTACTGTATTTATTCAAAAATCAAATTTTATACATTTCTATTCAGTGTAATATTTTTTATTCTTGGAAAAAAAAACAGACTTCTCCATCTCAACCTAAAATTGTCTAGCAACTTCGCGAAAAGCTCTCAGATCTTATGGCCTCTCATAGAACCATCACGTATTTATCCAGGTATAAACTAGACCTGCAACGAATATTCGGCTATTATTCGATATTCAGCCTATTTGACTACTTTTATCTTATTCGGTCAACGGCAACGAATATCGAAAACATTAGTAAAATGTTTTCTTGTAGTCAGATAATTGGTAAAATTAAAATATAGATTTATTTTATAAAAATGTATTTTCCTCGTAATCACTAAAGTAGTCATAGGTATATAACTTCCGTACGTCTTATTTATTTATTTGCTTTTTAGTATATAAATTATAAAAATTAACTACTAGTACATTAGGCGCTGTGCAAAACTCTCACACAAGACACTTGTGTGTGTTTTTTTTATTATTTTCATGTAATCAATATGAAATTAGCCATTCCTTGCCCAGACGCAGACACTTTTTGTGTCAAGATGCTTCCACTTGACACATACTGACCGCCAATCAATAAGTGTTCGGTGAAGGTAACTGGAAACTTTAAGGCGTCAGTTGAAGACACAAGCAACACAAAACAAATTTCCTTACAATTGTACGGCGCTGACATTGACGTGGTTGATTTGCTTGTAAATATTGACGGCGACGACGTCTACGTGAACTTGTGATCAACACAATAAGCAAAGGTAATGTTCTTTTCCGGACACAGCAACTACGATTTCCTGTGATGTGTGCCGTGTCGGTAACAAAAGTGTCCACGTTTGCACAGCGCTTTAGTTAGTACTTATAAAATGAACAAAAATATTCATTTAAATAAATGACCAGGCAATGTTTTTCGTCAATTTTGTAATAAAATTTTAATGAGGAGTAAATGGCGAATAATAAAGTAGCCAGTAGTAGCCTCAGCTTGTTGTTTTAAAAAAAAATAAACACGGTTTATATTTTTAATATCATTAAGAATATCGCTAGCAACCACAAGTAGAGTTGATAAATGAGAGGAGGCATGTATCCAGTAATTGGACATTATAGATTTTAACTTTAAATTTATATCTACAAAGAAGTAAAGAAAGGAAAGAAAGCCTTTTCTGCCTAGAGCCTAAATATGAAATGAAATTAAAACATGTTTTCGACGTAAAAAATAAAATTTCGTTTTCAAACGACATCATTTTTTTATAATCTACTACCTGCCGTTTCAAAATGAGGTTTCTCTGTCCGAAGAAGAAATGGAGAAAGAAACTCCGCAGAATTGTCCACGTCTTTGTCATGTTTTTTTTTAAATAATATGATATTCTTAATCTAAGTTAGGGAATAGACTCTTAGGTAATCAACGCACATCTTTAGTAAAATTACACAAATTAAAAAATTAAAGATAATAAATATGTTACAAACCCGAGGATACCAGTGCCTACAAGCAGCACCTGTTCACAAGTATATGCATCTATTATCAGGATTGCTATCTCTGTGATTGTTTCATGTCGACGATTAAAAGCTGGCATAGTTGTTATAACGGGAAATGAAGCTGCAGTCTTCAGCAGTTTTGACGCAACTGAACAGACAGATCTCAAAATGCATGCGGCGTGACTTACGTAAATTTAATACAGCTCGTATTGAAGAAGCGATCGAGAGGAACCAGGGACCCAAAATCTTTGCCAGAGATCTGTCTGCCAGAAAGAGCAAATTTTCGAAACAGAAGACCGAATGTGTCAGCATCGTTTCCGGGACATCTGAGATTTTGAGTGAGATTGAGAGGTTCTATGGGCAGCTGTACACGTCATCGTTGGAGCCACACACAAGTGCGAATAGCGATCCAAGAGCAAGTCTTATCCGGCACTATTCCGATGATATTTCAGATGGTTTCCGAAAAGGCTTTAGCACCATAGACCACATACATACCCTTCACAAATTGTACAGAAAACCGAAGTACAATCTGCTACTTTGTCTTGCGTATACTCGTCGAAATTTGGGCGCTGCTGCAATCTCTTTAGCGGTGCCAAGTTGACTGTCAGTATATCGAAGTGCTGAAGTGTTTGTACAGTGGGGCTACGATGGCTATCTGAGTACAGAACCAAAGTACAAAATCTATCCAACTGCAGAAAGGTGTAAGACAGGGTGACGTTATATCCCCGAAACTCTTCACCGTTGCATTGGAAGACGTTTTCTAGATACTGGACTGGAAAGGATACGGTATTGACATCAATGAGGAGTGCATCACTCACCTTCGATTTGCTGAAGAAAATATCGATATATCGAAATATAGATATTTATTTTAAGAGTATGGAATTCGTATCAATTTCGATAAATTTTAAAATGTTGTATTAATCGACAGTACATTAAGCTACAAAACCAGCTACAAAAGCATTCATGTGTTGTTGTCGTTGTTTTTTCGTCATCCAACTGTCAGTAATAAATTTTTTGCCATATCCTAGTACATCATGCAAAATATGACGATATATGGTATATTTATCACGCGATATCATACTGTATATCGACTATATACAGTACGATATATACTGTATACTGTATATCGATACGATATAATTGGTTTTTTTGCAGTAAGGGACCAAATTTGCAGAGAAGGTTCAGAATAAGTAATATTAGCAAATGGTGAAGAAAAATTAATTAAAAAAATCTCAAACATTCTGTCCTTTTTATATTTTAAATTCAAAATGCGTGGTAATGCATTATTTTAAATGATTTTACTGCGCACGCACACATTCGTAAGGGTCGATCGGTAGGCAAAAACGTTGTTGCCCATAAATTACTTTCAATTTGGGATAATTTCAAATAAAAGTAGAAGCCTTATTTATTCGTATTTTCAAAAACTGCAATAACGGTATATCCTTATTTATATATTTGAACTTAAGTTTAAAATTTGACTACTCTTTGAAAAATAACCCTGTATATCGATATTTTTTTTACTTGCCCATCACTAAGATGTCTTGCGTCCTGAGCACAGAACACAATTACTCTCTACCGAGGTCCTGAGTATCCGTCACAGGTCTGGGCTTGCTTCTCGCGGGTGCTAGTGTAATTTTGAGTATTGTTAAATGAATCATAGTCATTGCGGTTTTTTTGGTATTTCATGCGTAACTGTTAAGCCGTTATTGAGCCTTTATTGTATTGACAATTTATCTTAATAAAAGCCTATTTTACTTTGATTGTTTTCCAAAATGAAAAAATTAAACAATACAATGTATCTGTGATGACCTTAAGCATAACATATACTTATTTTTTATGTGGCTCACGCACAAAGAGATTCATATACCAAGTTCTTTAAACATAAAGTGTTCTTGGGATTTGAGCGATGTAATCCCCTTAAGTCTGAAACAGCTTATAATTAATTTATGCGGGTTTAGGGTACTGATTTAACAACACGACACATTTATTAAGCGTGGATTTTTTATTTTTCAGATACATCCCAGCCACGGTTGCTGTTACATATCTTTCAGCGGTAGCGAAGTATCATACCAGCAGTACGAAGTTCTCTGTAGCATTGTTGGTTGATCATCCTGAAAAAAACTTCAAATCGCCATTTCTTATGTACTTAATAAATGACTGATTTTTGGCTTTTTATTTATGAGCCACCCATTACATGTTAATAAATTTAATGTCGATAAAAAATAAACAGTGCAATTTATTTTATTATTAGTTTCTTTTCTAAAATATCGCCGTTTGCCTCCTTTCCTTCTTTTTTTTTTTGAAGTTGAGATGTTTTTAGCCAGCTTCATAACGTACCTTACGTTACGCGATATCTTCGACATTTGTGAACTAATTTAAATGGTTATTTTTTATTAAATAAGGTTAATAAACTCAAGAGGGATATTTTTTATAGGATAGGGTAACAAACGAGCACACAGTCCACCTGATTGTAGGTGGTTGCTGTGACCCATAGACATCTACATTTATCCTCAATGAAGAATCAAAATACAGATGCGTCGTCACCCGTGAGGACTAAGACGGAATGCCTCTTTTCCAGTAAAATGGGTCTCCGGTTTTCTACTCTCACCATACGAAATACAGCAGTGTCAAGCTGCCATTCTACGCAGGTATTCTGTGAGAGCGTGGTCCATCCCCGGTCGAGCCAACCCATTCGTGCTATTCGTGTAATTCGTGTATTATGCTACAACTATATTACATTAGTAGTATAGTTGTAGCATAGCTCCACCACTAACTTAAAAAAATCTTTATCTTAAAAAAGTAAAAACTAACGTCAAAGAACTGAAAATATCAAAATGATTTCCACATAATTTAATAGCTTTCGGTCGGAGCTTTCATTTTTAGATATTTTTTTTTTTATAGAAAAGGGGGCAAACGAGCATGCGGCTCACCTGATGGTAAGTGACTACCGCCGCCCATGAACAACCGCAACCCCAGGGGAATCGCAGATGCGTTGCCGGCCTTTTAGAAAGGTGTAAGCTCTTTTCTTGAAGATTCCTAAGTCGTATCGGTTCGGAAAATTCGCTGGTGGTAATTGATTCCACAAAGAAGTTGTGCGAGGGAGAAAACTTCTTCTAAATCGCACAGTGGTGGACCGCCAATCATCCAGATGGTATGGATGGTAACGCGAGTTTTGTCGCGATGTACGATAGTGAAATTGAGCGGCTGGAATTAGTCCGAACAATTCCTCAGAGCACTCCCCGTGATAGATGCGATAAAATACGCAAAGAGATGCAACATCTCTATGCAGTGCCAGTGTATCGAGCCGATCGGAAAGAACTCGGTCGTCGACGATTTGAATCGCTCTGCGCTGGATGCGGTCAAGTGGAAGGAGCTGGCACTGGGGTGCCCCGGCCCAGAGATGAGAACAGTATTCCATGTGGGGCCGAACTTGCGCTTTGTAAAGTTGCAAGCGATGTACCGGCATGAAATACTGTCTCGCTCTGCTGAGCACGCCAAGCTTTATAGAGGCCAATTTGGCCTTCCCTTTCAAGTGACCACGAAACTGCACGCTATTCGATATGTCGACGCCAAGGATTCCGATACTGGCTGAGGCAGCAAGGGGAGTGCCTTGAAACTGAGGAGATACGACAAAGGGGTTCTTTTTAGCGGTAAACTCGCAAACTTGTGTCTTCTGGAGATTGAACTGGACTAGATTTAGTCGGCCCCAATCCGAGACTTTGTTAAGCAAAGACTCGACTTCAGACACAAGTTTGTGCCGTTACTCGGCGACGTTTTCCCGAGAAATATTGACACGGCCGGTATATAAGGCATCCCCAGTGCTGTCGTCTGCATAGCAATGAATGCTACCAGTTAGCAACATATCATTGATATGCAGGAGAAACAGCGTTGGTGATAGCACGCAGCCTTGTGGAACACCAGCGTTGATAGGCTTGAAATCAGAGCATGCACCGTCTACTACGACCTTGATGCTCCGATCAGCAAGGAAACTGGTGATCGGAGCATCAAGGGGGATCTCATCATCTGGGGATAATAAACAGGGCATGTTACCGTGACGCGGCCGCGGAGCGAATGAGGCTACGCGCGCCGCGCCACAACGTTTTATATTTATAGTACTGAGGCGGGGGGCAGGGTCCTCAGCTCAAAATTGCTGGAATAATAACGTTTTAACCTTTATTATGTAGAAAAATTATTATATAAGTATTAGTTAAATAAGCAATTGTAAAAATATTTAAGTCTGTACAGTAGTTTATAAGAAATTTGCCAAATAAAGAAAGGCGCGGGGGTGAGGCAAGGGTCCGCTGGCCAGCAATGGTCGAATCGTATAAAAGACGGGCCGGTCGGAACGGTCGGTATCTGCGCCCTCTTTTCCCAAAAGAGGGTCGCTTTACGATACGGCATGTGAAGCTTTCAACAGCTGGTTGCCAGTCCCCAAAGGCAGTTTTTAGAGGGTATCACTTAGGTTCCCCCTTGTAGGTAGTGAGTCCCTCATAACCACGATGGACCGGCCATCGTGGTATGCGTAATGCATTTTCTGCCTCCCTTCGGGGTAGCCCTTTTCCAATTGCTTCGGGCGCAAAAAAAAAAAAAAAAAAAAAAAAAAAAAGAACGGTCGGCACATTCCGCCTGTGGCACCGCTCTCGAGCGGTCGTGGCCAGGTAGTCCGCGCATCCGTCCCCGTACGGTAGTGCTCTCTCGCTCTCGCGCCTCCGCTGTCCTGCTCGCGCTATACAGCGTCGACGCTTTGGTGAGTCATTTCTGCTAACAGTTCTTGCCCCCCTGTCTTTGGGCAGGGAGGTTTGACTGACCTCTGCTTGTTATTGTTATTTTTATTGTTAATTCTTATTGTTAACTATTTCTAATTTTGTTTTCGTTATTTATTTGTATAACGTGTACGTGTATATACTGTTTCTAGGGAGTCACTTGCTCTTTTCAGAGCAAGGCCCTGCTCTTTTGAGAGCAGGGGCACTTACTCCTTGAATAAAGAACGTCCCGTTCTTTTGAGAACGGTGATCCCCCGCCCTTACTGTTTAGGTACAGAACGTCTCTGTTCTTTTCAGAACAGCACCCCCTAGCCCCTTCCGTTTCAAATACATACTGATTCATAGAATTACTGCCCTCAACATGTCCACAGTTACCCAAGTTAAGTCCCTCGTCGCCGCCCTAAACCAAACTCTTGGTCTGGGCCTAAACCTCGATGAGACGGCCCTCGCCGCCATCGCCGCCCTTGTTACTCCACCTGCCCGTCAGACACTCCAACCGCCGCCCGTACTCGCGGCCTACCTAGAAACCAAAAACTCTTTCGCCCCATTAGAAATGGAGTACGCATGCTCCGAGTCCTCTGCGTCGGCCTCCCGGAAGAGGCCCGCCACCAATTCTGGCACCGGTTCATCGGAGTCCTGTGACTCCGACGGAACCGTGGATTCTTCGTTCACCACGGTGAACTCCAAGCGCAGCGGTAAACGCGCCGCGAAAAACCGCACCCTCCCTGTCTCAGCGGCCCCTGCCGCTCCTTCAACCTCCGCAGCTCCCGCTGCCACCTCTGCCCCCGCAGCTCCCGTCGCTGCCGCGGCCCCACTTAGGTCACTAGACATCCCCGCTCCGACCAAGCCAGCCTCTCGCTGTGCTCCAGTCCTTGCCAAGAAGCAAGTCCCGCCCCCTGTCTTCCTAAGAGACAAGCCAAATTCACAGAACTCTCCAAAACCTGCTACAACGCAGGCATAAAATACGACCACGCCACTAACCTCGGGGAGGCCATTAAGATCATCCCCCAATCAATCGACGACTTCCGGCGTCTCACCAGGCTATTCACAGCCGAACGAGTTTCTTATCATACGTACGCTCTCCCGGAAGAGCGCAAAGTCAGGGCCGTCATCCGTGGCGTCCCCTTCGAATTTTCCAACGAAGAAATCCTTGAGGACCTTAAGTCCCAAGGTTTCCCAGTTGAAGCCGTGCACAAAATGCACAGTAGAACGGGCCAGAGGTTCTCTCTTGCCCTAGTAATTTTAACCAACGTGCCGGAGGCAAAAGCCATCTTCCGGCAGGTACGCACAGTGTGCGGCCTGTCGAGAGTGAGGGTTGAGCCTCCACATAGGCGCGGGTTCCCGGCGCAGTGCCACCGCTGCCAGCTATATGGTCATGCGGCGGCCATCTGCTCCGCCCCACCCAGGTGCGTTAAGTGCCTTGAACCCCACAACACTAAAGAGTGTCCTCGGCCCAAAGACGCCGAATCCCCACCCGCGTGTGTCCTGTGTAAACAAACAGGCCACCCGGCTAACTACAGAGGCTGCCCTTGCGCACCTCATCCTCGCCCCAGTAGGCAAGCTCCACCGCCGGTCAATGACCGCTCATTCCCGGCTCTTTACCAACGGATGCCCCGTCAGGGCCTTTCTCAGCCCACCCAGGGCTTCTCTCGGCCCTCTCAGGGTCCCCCTACCGACCGTCTTCTCGCTCTTGCAGAGCACCATAATCTTTTGTGCTCGTTGTAAGTTAAGTTAACTTAATTAACTTAACTCACAATGACAGAGCAGTTTGCTCTACCAAAGTCTCACGGTCGTATCAAACCTAAGGGTTTATCACTTGTATCCTTTAACATTCGCGGTTTGCGAAATAACCTCCCTGAGCTTAAGCTCTTTCTTCGAAATCGTGAAGCCGATTTCCTCCTCCTACAGGAAACTAATCTCAATACTAAGGACACTAAAGGCCTTTCCATCAAAAACTTCTCTCTTCTTCGTAATGACAGACCCGACCGCCGAGGCGGCGGTACGGCCATTTATTACAAGAAGACACTTCACTGCTCTCCCATTTCTACTCCGCAACTTTCCAATATGGAAGCCACGGTATGTAGGCTAGCTATGACTGGACATCAGTCCATCTTCATAGCCTCCTGTTACATCCCTTCTAAAACCCTTCCCCTCAAAAAAGATTTTGAGGCTATTTTATCTCTAGGCAATTCAGTCATTATGTTTGGAGATTTTAACTCCAAGCACACTGAATGGACATGCCGTACTACTTCACGTAGTGGCAGGATACTGCTCGATATCACGCAGTCTCTTGACCTTACCGTCCACAGTCCCCTCGGTGCTACTCACTATCCCGATATCACC